TTGTTTAAAATAGTTTCAAAGTGTTCGCAAGTGCTCCTTTTATTAGCAAATTGGTTCTATTTAAGTGTTAGAAGGAAATTTATTTTTATTTTAATTTTTGATATTTATTTTTTAAAATGACAGAAATGTCTATTAAAAAATTAGACAATTATATTACAGGTGATGGTGTAGAAGTTTTATTGGAAACAATTTCGGCTATAATTAAATTGCAAAAAGATTTGGAAAAAAGGATTGAGCAAAATACGAAAAGAGAAATTAAAGAAATATCGATTGAATTTAAAAAACAAGCTGGAATTTTAAATAGTAAACTTATTAAAGATTGGTTAGTAAATCATAGGGAAAAGAACAAACTAATGAAAGATTTTGGAACTCAGACTAGAGCAGAAGGATATTTTTATTTGGAAGAGGAGATTTTAAATTTTGAAGAATGGAAAACTATTGAGAAATTAAAATGGGCTAAAGAATCATTTAAAAATATAGAAATTAGGAAAGGGAACCCATTAAATGCGAAAGATGGAGCAGTGATGATAGTGGCTGTAGATCCAACTGATAGTTTAATGGAAAAAGGAATACAAAGAAAATTTAAAAAGAGATTTCCAGAGTTGGATGAAATAAAAGAGGATATGGGAGTGATAGAACAAGAATATAAGATTAAAATTAAGGGACAAATGGAGAAAAAAAGTAAAAAAATTATCAAATTTTTCTATAATGATATTGAAAAAGGTTTTTTTGAAAATATCAAAATTTTGAGAGAAGAAACAAAAGATGACAAATTGATTGTAATGCACACAATTAAAAATATGGATACAGAAAAAATGGTTAAAATGATGGAGTGTGTCTTTCACGAATCTAATACAAAGGTAGTGGTATTTACTGAAGAACTAGAAGAGGAAAAACAAAAAGAACAACAAAGAAAAACATATGCTTTAGTTGTAGAAGGAGGAGGAAAAAATTTTACAGAAACATTGAAAGAAGTAAAAGGTACCTTAGATAAAGAGAAAATTAAGGAAGGAATAAAAATGATTAAAAGTACAAAAAATGGGAAGTTATTAATTACGATGGAAAAGGAAGGTGACACCTTAAAAAGGGTAAGTCAAGCGATAAGAAAAAATGGGGAAAATTTATTTTGTAAAAAGTTAGGAGAGGATGATAATGAAATTATTCATATAAGAGGTATGGATGCCTTGGTTAAAAAGGAAGATATTAATGAAGCAATTGTTTCCATTTTGGGAGCTGGTAAACAGTACCTAAAAATAGGAGAAATTCGACCTTTGAGAGATGATACCAAAGCAGTAACAATTAAATTGAATAAAAAAAATGCAGAGGTGTTACTTAAAAATAAAAAAATTAGAATTGGTTTTACAATTTGTGAACTAGAAAAAAGAATTGATATGCAAAAATGTTATAAATGCTGGGGATATGGTCATTTAATTAAAAACTGTTCTGGTCCAGATAGAAGAGACTTATGTTTTAAATGTGGCAAAAAGGGACATGCGGCTGACAAATGCTTAAACCAAGAATTTTGTCCAATTTGCATAAAAGAAGGACATAAAGCTGGTACTGGGAGATGTATTGAGTTTAAGACTGAATTAAATAAACTTAGGAAAGTGAACAGACTGCAGATGCGGATGAAAGAAGGAAAAGACAGGGCAAGTATAGAAAATAATTTGATTTAAAAATAAGTTAAAGTAAAATTTTTTTTATGAAAATATTACAAGTAAATGTTAATAGAGGGGTTGAAGCTATGAATTTAATAGATAAGTGTATTGAAGAAATGAGGATTGATATTGTTGTTGTGTCGGAACCAAATAAAAAAAAAGTTGAGGGCTCTAGATGGTTCACGGATAAATTTTGTGATGTGGCAATAATTATAGTTAATAGTGAAATAAAAGTTTATAAATGGGAGGAAGGACCTGGTTTTGTGGCGTTAAAGACTAATATAGGTTTGTGGATTGGATGTTATTTGACACCTAATGAATCATTAGTAGAATTTGAAGATAAATTAAAGAAAATTGCTATGGTAGTGCATGAGAACAATGGAAAAGAGATTTTTATTATGGGAGATTTTAATGCAAAATCAGCTTTATGGGGTTCAAAAAGAGAGGATGCAAGAGGGAAAATATTGTGTGAATGGATATTTGAGCAAAACATGGCAATTGCTAACAGGGGAAATAAACCTACATGGAAAAGAGGAAATCAGGAGTCAAACATAGATATAACGATGTGTAAAGTTGACATAATTAATTGGATTGAAAACTGGGAAATTTTGGATGAGGAAAATCTTAGTGATCATGCTACTATTAAATTTGAAGTAAAAATCAGGAATGCATCGCAGAGTGAAGAAATATTTCAAGAGGAGAGGTGGTTTCGGAAGATAGGATTAGTGAATGAATTTCAAAAGGAAGTGAAAAAAAAAATTCAAGCAGTAGATGTTCTTACTCCTACCATGTTAATTAAAGCAGTAACAGCAGCTTGCGATAAAACTTATGGTAAAAGAAAAATAAAATGTTATAAAGGAAAACAATTGTATTGGTGGACGGATAAGGTTGCAGAAGCGAGAGCTGAAGCAAATAGAAATAGGCGCATACTCACAAGAATTAATTCACAGAACGGAAACGAAAGGGAAAAGGAAGCAGCAAAAACGGAATATGAAAGTTCTCGTAAAGCATATAAAAATGAAATAAGAAGAGCAAAAAGGGATGCCTGGAGGAAACTGTGTAATGAGCTAGAGGATGATGTATGGGGAGATGCCTATAAAATTGTTTTTAAAAAAACGAAAAACACACCGAGAGTTACACTTAATGGAGATGAATTACAAGATGTAATAAAAGAACTTTTTCCAATGGGAAATAGGGTTGTATGGAGCAGAAATAGGTGTAATGAGAGTATTAGAAAGATTACAGAAGAGGAATTATTACAACTGGCTACACATCTTAAAAATAAAAAGGCTCCTGGTCCGGATCAAATTATACCAGAAATAGTGAAAGATACCATATGTGTAATTCCAAAGGAAGTAACTGAAA